ATTATTATTATTATTATTTCTGCAGTTTAGCGCCATCTGCTGTCAGAGAGTAAAAGTGCGCTTTCATCCAGAGCGTCTCTCACATGTTCCGCCATGTGCTTTTCATCCGCGCTTATTTACATCAGAGTGCGCACGCGTCTTTCAGGCAACATACAGCGGTGTTGTGCATTTTGACCAGTTTATGGGAAAAGTATTCTTAAAATGCATTCAAAATTCTGAATAATTTGTTATATATAATTATTCACGGTATTTAGAAGTGCCCACGATAACAATATCGTGCATATTCATTACCGTGATATATCGCATTACTGAATACCGGCACAAGTCTATAAGTAAGAGATTCATTTATCATCAAGTGTATGGACAGCTTCATTGATTATAACAGGAGTTTTGAGTGCTTTGAGTCTGGCTAGACTGAAGTCAGTGATCTTTAATGTAAATGTTTGCTCGCTTTCTCCATAATTTACTCGCTGTTTGAATAACTGAAAATTATTAAACTGAAAATTTAAAATTAACTGAAAATTATTAAAGTGTTATAATTAGTAACTTAGAATGTTTTTATTAAATTGTGATAACTTTAAATACAAATTCAGTCATATTAAAATATTTCATGACACCGTATATGGTACTTTTCTAAACAGATGGGTTTATGATGCGTGTAGTTAATAGATTACACTAACATTAGGCTACTTTAGCCTTACGCTGTAGTTGGTTCACTCTCTGCCTATGGGTAAGATATTTAATTATTCTTTGCTTAATGATTGTTTGGTACACCTAATTAACTGATATTGAAAAGCTTTTATCTTGGAACCGACGAACAGTCATTAGGTTTTCTCAACGGTAAGAAATAAATTTATTTATTTATTTATTTTTGAAGGAGGCGTGGTGGTTGGGGGGGACCCCCCAAGAGCTTTGATACAATTTGAACACTGCCCTTAAGTGTTTTCTGAAGTCAAAGGTCAGCGTTCCAAGACCAAACCAAATTCACTGCGGGGGGATCCTATGCTGCCCTTAGGCGGTAAATGTGGGGTGGGTAAAGCATTGGACCAACATCTGACAAACTCATTAGTGTGTGAAGTTCCCTCCAGTGTGGTGAGCACATACATTCTCATCTCTAACATAGAGCTTAATACTTGAGAATTTACCATGTTACTGGTGCTGTATAAAGACTGAAATCAAGACTAAATATGGGCTTTTCACACTTGAAATAATTCAGGGTCATTTTAAGTCGTGGCCTAATGGTTAGAGAGTCGGACTCGTAACCCAAAGGTTGCGGGTTCGAGTCTCGCACCGGCAGGGATTGTAGGTGGGGGGAGTGAATGTACAGCGGTCTCTCCCACCTTCAATACCACGACTGAGGTGCCCTTGAGCAAGGCACCGAACCCCCAACTGCTCCCCGGGCGCCGCAGCATAAATAGCTGCCCACTGCTCCGGGTGTGTGTTCACGGTGTGTGTGTGTTCACTGCTGTGTGTGTGCACTTTGGATGGGATAAATGCAGAGCACTAATTCCGAGTATGGGTCACCATACTTGGCCACATGTCACGTCACATCGTCACATCGTCACATTAAATCCTTGGATAACACAATCCAGGGTTATCTGGGGGTAAATGTTTTACATTATTTACATTTTACTTTCTATACCGATGACACTGCAATTCAGTGGTTTTCAGGAGTAAGGCTTCATAAATTATAAGCAAAGCAGCACTAACCCAAGTTATAAGTGGTGCGAAGTTCTTAAGGTCAATTCCGTGTCAAGATTTAAAAAGAAGTTTACCTGGAATTAAGCATAGTGTGAAAAGCCTGGAAGAGATTTCTGGCCACAATTCCACACACACACAAAAAAGAGAAAATTGATTTGGTTTCTTAAGTGTCCTGTTTCTCAAGATACCAAAGTCTGCAATCCAAGTCAAAGAAAAGCCAAAGAAAATTTCAATATGAACTGTGCTATGATATGTTAATTAACTGTATTATTATTAGTTTCTATTATTAATTCGCCAAAGGAATTTTAGGAGAAGCATCCGAGACAAAGTTGAAACTTAAACGATACATAATTGAGAACTCAATTAAGTTACCTTATGAGCAACCTCTGAGAAATAAATACAGAGCATTTTCTTTGGGAAGCAACAAAATCACAGCCAATTAGAACATACTTGGGACCAGATTTACTAAACAATGTGTAAATTAAAGAACACAGATGCAGTCGACTCATTTCCATAATGACCAACGCAGTCTACCAAGATCAGCACAAATTAGCAAATATCGCAGTGCAAAACGGGTTAAAATACACTTTATAGGGCATTTAATAATTATTTATTTGCCGTAGTGGAAAGAGTACTAAACAATTGTAAAGTATTGCTACTTAAGGAATAATTTACTTGAGTACAAGTAAAAGTACTGAAAAATAATGACTCCAGTAAAAGTAAACAAGTAGTTTGCTGAAAAACCACTCCAGTTACTGCGTTACAAAGTACTTTAGTATTATTTTTCTATTTTTACCCAAAATGGTGCAATGTGAGCATTATGGAGTATTAAACACTCTCATGTAGCAACTGTTTCACAAGTGAGACTCAGAAGTATTAAACTTATGACATTCCAGAAAATCCCTTATATGGACAAATGCATCAATACCAATGTATCACTACAGCTGAGTAACATGTAGATAGAGACATTTTGACTGATGAAACATGAAGACAATAAACACACAATTGTGATGATACATCTGTTTATTTATTTTCTTTAAGCCATTTCCGCTATTTTCATAAGAATGATGTATATTTAAAATGCAAAGCTAATCGACATAGCCTGTATCACAGTATATAATTTTATACAATAATATATTTTCTGCCTCATTCTGTGAAAAGAAGCAAGTTATTTCAAACACGACTGATGTTATATAGTGATTTTGGAGCAAAACATTATATTCATCTCAGAAATTGTCATGTTTGACGCTATGCTAAGCAAACATACTAGCTTTCCCCGTAGCCAGGAGCGATTGTTTTATAAGTAATTTTGAAAAGTAAGTCCACGTAAGATTATATTAATGTCCTTAAGAAGTGCAAAACAAAGAAGGGTAAGTGAGAGGTTTGATCAAATAAATTAGGGGTTAAAACAGTGTTAATAGAAAGGTGGCAGTAAAATCACTAAATATTCATGGTCATTGTCACTCCCTCACATACAGCCTTTCTAACGCAAAACATGTCTTACAAAAGTTAGATCAATATATGTTTTTTTTTGTGAATGAGTGGGCAGGATGATTTTCACATCATTTTGTAGCAAAAACTCTAGTCTACCACATCCAGTTCTCAAAAGTCTTGTGGACAAATGTTCTGTATCGCTGTGTCTGAAATCACATACTTCCCTACTAAATAGTATGTGAAAAACAGTATGTGAGCCGAGTAGTATGTCCGAATCCATAGTATTCGAAAAACAGTAGGCGAGAAGTACCCGGATGACCTACTACTTCCGGCGTGATTCTGAAGTGCGCATACGATGGACACTTTACTATCCCATGAAGCCACAGGAGAGAATTTATGAATGGAAGTGAAGCGACGCAACGGACACTGGTGGGTCACGTGACAGTAGCAACATGGTGGATGTAGTACGTCCGGATTTCATTCATACCACTCTCATTCATACTATATAGAACATTCTTTTTTAACGGGTGTGAAGTAAATTCATATTCAAATGTAGTACCTACTCAGAAAGTACGTGATTTCGGATGCACCATATGTGTTTTATGGCCTTATTTCAGTGACGTAAAAAAATTTACATTTTCACTAACCACGCATAAACGTTGTTTTCTCAAAAACACAAACATGTACATTCCTGTTGCTCTCATATTACTGAAGAACAGTTTGTGATGAATACAGTGTAATCAGATTTTAGCTATTAATATGTTTTTAAGATACTGAAAAAGCACAAAAGTCAGGGCATGTCAAAACTTCTCAAGGGCCCCAAACTCCCCAACCCTCCACCCAGACCCCAGGGAGTTAATGAGGACAGTGAAATGTCATAATTAATCTCCCCATAGTGTTATGAGAAGAAGCCAGCAAGGATTCAACTAGCCTGAGGTCTTTGACTCCAGAATATCTCCCGAAAAGCAACTACATATCTCACCATAGTTATCCCATACACTGACGGTGCCATGGGGCCCAGAGGGCCACTGCTGGCAGATGCCCATAATGGGCATGTTGACAACACTGCTGTCTAGCAGAAGTCACTCGGTTCAGTTTTGCACACACGTCACTGTGAATAAGTTAGCAAAGCGCTAATTAAAAAGTGTTGATTAGAGAGGTGGTGGTGCAGAGGTGTTAGTCTAAAGGAGAGACAGGCATAATTACAACATGTTCTACACTGCTTTAAACAACGACAAGAGAAAAAAATGGATAGACTTGTTAAAATGTTCAAAGCAAGGTGTCAAATTGAATTTTTACCCAGTATTTTTAAGAGGTATGCTAAAAATGTTTGTTTGCAACTTACTTAAAACAACAATGTACCCACAGTATGACTCAAAAAATACAAAATAAAACATTAATATCTTATTAATCGATGTAATATAAAGCAGAGCTATAAAGGGTAACTTGTCACCTCCTGGGGTGTTACCATGGCAAGCTAGTACATGCTAAGCTTTATATAAGGCTTTGTATTACAGGTGAGCGTCTGACAGAGGCACAGAAAATGTTGAAAATTCCAAATTAAAATTCTGTCACCATTTATCAACCTTAATTTCCAACTAGGGTTGTAACGATATACCGGTATGATGGTTTATCACGGTTTGAACGTGCATGGTTATCATACCGTAAACATTTGCATATCTACGGTTAAAAAAAAAAAAATGAATGAAAAAAAATCTCACCCGCGCACCTGCAACTTATTTCCGCTCGGCTGCTTCACTCTGCATTCACTCGGCTGCTAACACGCACGTACAGCGCAGAAAATGACAGAGACAGAGATAATATCTAATCTCCATCCCCGCCGAAAAAAAAGTTAATATCTGCAGTATGGGAATACTTTGGATATTAAAAAAAAACGAACGCGGGGTTGTCCTTGAGGACGGATCCAATTTGCAAAAAATGTGGACGCAAAGTGGCTGCAAAAGCAGTCAATACATCCAACATCTTCGCTCATATTCGCGGACACCATCCCTCCGTGCAGATAAAGGTATGTCGCATTAATAACAAGTTATAAGTTAAGGCCGTATGATTTCCGTGAATGTTTGTGAATATTAAAGCGCAAAGAGACTGCTATATGAATAATCTGCTTGTTTCTGCATGTCTCTGAGTGGCGCCGTTTTATCTACTGCATACTGAAGTGTGCATACATAAATGGTGTTTTCAGTGTTTAAGATACATAAACATGAACATCAGCAGAGCTGCTCTGAGAGAAAACATAAATAAACATTTCCTAGTTTTATTTGAGAAAAACCATTGTCAAATACACTCTGAAACTCAAAGGTCCGCTACAACCCGTCAAAATAAAGTTTGGTTTAAATGATTGAAATGATGACAGAAATATATTAGCATTGTACAATGTACTTCAAAGTTATAATAACA